TCATTTTGTCTTTTTTGCTTTATCATAAAATATAGCCCCCACCCCCCACCCCCCTCTGGCCGGGCTAGGGGGGTGTGCACCCCCCCCCCAGTAAATCCATCCCTGTATAAGGTTATATTTCATTAAGGGGTTGAGTCTTAATAATAGTTTATTTGTGAATTTATTTAAATATATATCATTTTGATATTGAGCATAATAGTTTTCACCTAAATACATTGTGCTTTATATATTTTCTATTTATGTATGTGTATAATGCTAAATTGAATAGAATATTATTTTTTGCTAAAATGTGTTGATTTAGGTTATGTTAGATGTCACTAAGATGGTTTCGATAAATCGAAACATTGACATGGTCTCGATAAATCGAAACATTGGCATAGTCTCGATAAATCGAAACATTGACATGGTCTCGATAAATCGAAACATTGGCATAGTCTCGATAAATCGAAACATTGACATGGTCTCGATAAATCGAACCATGACATTGTCTTCGATAAATCGAAACATTGACATGGTCTCGATAAATTGAAACATTGGCATAGTCTCGATAAATCGAAACATTGACTTGGTCTCGATAAATCGAAATATTCACATGGTCTCGATAAATCGAAACATTCACATGGTCTCGATAAATCGAAACATTGACTTGGTCTCGATAACTCGAAACATTCACATTTCACATGGTCTCGATAAACTGAAACATTCACATGATGTCGATAAATCGGAACATTGATATAGTTTCCAAATATAAATTCATCTGAGATGCCTTTGGTTAAACCAACATATTTTCACTGTTAGCTGTCATGCTACTTTTGCATTATTTGATCCTTTTCAGAACAGTCTATAAAATGTGTTGTTAATTTTAGGTAAATTTGGTTGTTTTAGCAAGAGAAGAAAATTTGCATTCTTTTTTTTGCACAAAAGGTGTTTTTAAGCACCAATTTTTCTGTTTTTTTCAGTTTTGGACAAATTTGTTTAAAAATACGAAAATTGGCACCATTTTTGGGTAAATAGAATATTGGACCCTATAGTAGAACGTGTTAGTTATATCAAGACTCGTGGAAATTGGGAAAACTCGAAATTGTGTGAAAACACTCCGCCCTTCGGGCGTCGTGTTTCCACACAATTTCTCGTGTTCTCAATTTCCACTCGTGTTAATATAACTGTATATTAACACGGAAAATGTTTTATATTTGTTAAATACCAACCTGGATATAAGTTCTCGCACTGTAGTGATGTAACATGTTGAGCGACTTCATTTAGTTCTTCTTCCACCCATAAACTTGGTTGTTTCAAATCCACGAGATATACATCAGATCTGGTCGAGGCAATACTTTCAAGAAGCAACTTTGCCCTATGTTTTCGAGAATCGCGTCCGAGGCCTACGATAACCACGCGTACTCCTCGTCGTTTTAGATTATCAATTTGCCTTATTGCCAGTTGTTCATCGTGAAATTCTCCATCGGTATAAACCATTAGTACGTTTTCTGCATCTGAACGGTCACTATTGCTGCTGAAGCCACTCAGAATGACGTTGTCCGAGCTGTTGAACAGCTAGAATGAAAAGTTGCAGAAAAGTGCACATTTTTATCACTGGTCAACCTAGTTTTTACAGCATAAATGTTTGTTTATCACAGCATTTTTTTCACAAGTAATTTCTATTATAAAGTTGTATTTAGGTTCATACAAATAATAATAATTTTTTATCAAATGTTAGTAACTAATATAAGATATTTATCATACCTAGTAATTAGTGAATTATCCTTATGTAAATATAATCCTAGTAATTCAGTTTCTACTGCAAATGGCGCCGGGTTTATTACACTGGCCTGAAGACCAAGTGTCTTAAATCCCTCTTTTTCTGTTTTCTGTTTTCTTCGTCGTCGAGAAATGGAGTTTGCGTTAGCTCATCGCAGGTTCAGGGTGCAACGATTAAACCAAAATGCCATCGATTCCCCTCGGTTCCGTGATTTACATACTGTAGTAACAAGCTCGTATTTATGTACGTAATAGCCGGCTCATTCCATGCTTGTGGTACATTTTTCGTTTATTAGCCCATAACCTTGTACGCACGCGCACAATTCCGAACTCCAAGGATAGAGTGCTCCATTGACATATTCAGTTCAGTTTCAAAATAGCGTTTTTTCACTGAGCGACTAATATATATTTCACACAGTTTCGTTGAATTTTCAAAGAATTGTGCCGGTTTCCTATAGAAAATATGTTGTGTTGCACTCTGGACTCTCTTGCGTGTTGAATTGATGTGTTTTTCTTTGTGTAACGACTCGAAAACCCCAAAATTTGGACCAAGCGTATTTATACAATATAGTGGATTAAGTGGAATGTAAACACGGACAAGTTTAAGGTTTGACAGTTTGACTTTTTAAATAACAAGTATAAATATACGTTGTAGACTCATAAACAAGCGTTGTGCACTTGCGTTCATTTGCATAATTATAGATTTGCACATAATTACATTAGTTTGCGCCAAATTACTTTCCATTTCATCATATATTACTATAAAAATGTATTTTTGTATTGTATTCAGCGAGGTGGCGTTGCGTGCGGCGAAGTCAGTGAAACGTAATACGGTTCAATTTGTTTTTGGAACAAGATTCAACTTCTCCCCCCACTAGCTTTTTTAATTCTCAAATTGTTTGTTAGATGTTTACTGGTTGGGGTTAGAGAAGGGCTTGGGGTTGGGATCAGTTTATCTTATAAATGGAAGCGAATTGGCGTATTTTTTAGAAGAATCGTCTATGTCTATGAACTTTTTACTACCTGAAACTAGCCATATAATGGCATTAAAAATCAAGAACTATATAATTTCTTCGCTGTTGTTGGCCCATCATTATTTACGGTTGATAGTTGATGATCATAGTTACAGTGGGCTTGGCTTGTCAGGTTGAGTTGCCCGTAGCCGGAGGGTACACCTGAACCGGCGCCTTGGTATATTATGGTTGATAGTTGCTGATGATGATTGTATTTATTGGTTGTATTTATATGGTCCAGACCTACACTGTATCCCTATCTACTTCTCTACTGCACATTACACCCTACCACGAAAGTTGCCATTTCCAGGCCAGTGTGAACGCCTGAGCAGGCGTCTTGTTATTAATAAAACGATCTATTTATCCATCTAGCTATCTCCACAATAATCATACCTTGATCGATCGAGCCTTAAAACACGTCTGCACGCGCGTCTTTCGCCACTCGCCTTTTTTATTAAGGACATGCATGTTAAATTTATGTTATGGATTCCGTGCTTTTGATCGGAACAATAAAGTTACCGTTGTTACAAGGCAGGCATTTATATAACATCGCCGAGGAGTGCTATATATTTATCAAGCACCTTTGTTTTCGTCAATGCAAGTAAATGCGATTTGGGTCAGGTCGTTATTGTTTTTCTTGAGCGCCTCCCCTCCTGCATGCTCTTAAGTTCATATTAGAATAGAGACCATAGGCATACGGGCAGAAAAATTATTGCGGGGGGGGGGGGGGGGGGGGGACGACAAAAATTTGCCCGACATTGATTGTGGTTGCCGGACATTAAGTTGGGTTTGTTGATGGATGAATAGAGGGTAAATAGAAGGAAAACATGTGCTGTAAACTCGCGCGGAAATAAGAAAATAAAGTCAATCTTAAAATGGAATAATTTACGAGTACGCCTGGGATTTCATTCTTTAAGATACATTGAAAACTCCCTACTCTACACTGCATGCAATTTAATGAAACAATATCCAATCCATCATTCAGTTTCTGACTAATTATATAAACATATAACAATTATTCGCCGAAGGCGCACGAGGTGATTATCGGGGAATATTCGCCGAGACGAAGTCGAGGTGAATATTCCCCGATAATCACCGAGCCTGAGGCGAATAATTGTTTTAGTATTTTTGTGTTTTTTGGGACTGAATTTATTTTAATTTCGCTTATTTCTTTATCAGTATAACGTCCACAAAACGGCTAGCCGCCATTTTGAAAATTTCGGTTTTGTCATATTCACCTGTAGGCGAATATAGCTAACAGCTTAATACGTCAAATTTGACCAATCAACTTGTAGAATTTGTTATGTTCACTTGTGCAAAAATACTAATAATTAATATCAATATCTCAACTTTAATATCATGACAAAATATGTATTTTGAGAGAATCTGCCCATGGCTAAATACTGGCAGGAGGGGGCCCAGTGGGGGGAGGGGGGGGGCGCTCAGTCTCCTATCTCGTACGCCTGTATAAGAGATTATGACCCGTAAAATTGATTGGTTATACTTACATTGTCTCCGATAGCTATATTCAATCCTCTACCGATATACGAGGTGTATCCTCTGTGGTACTCCATCTCATTGATCACACTTTCGATCACTTTTGGATTCGTAAACTCTCCTAGCTTCA